TTCCCTAATCTATCTGCTCGTTTGGGTTCTTGCTTCCCATTTTGAAATTGTTTATGATGCATTTTAATGCTGTTTATTGCAACAGCGCCTTAAAAATTTGAAACAGTTTACAGGAGGCACTTTATTATTTTGCAACCCAAATCAAAGCTCTATGCAGTCTGGCTCACCAATAGTGAAATCCTGACAACAATTAGCAGTAAACAACTGCTAATTAGAAATAGAAGATATCATACTTTGCAATCAAAACCAAAATCATACCCATCTTGACCAGCTACTCCTACATCAGAAATCACATTTATCTACACCTGTTTGCAGAGAAAAATCCTATATTTCTCTTTACAAAACCACAATAACTTCTACAAAGAACCTTTGAACACTTTGTGCAGAAATGAAATCTTGAAATCTCACCACTGTTTGCTACAGATCTGCTATAGCTCACAATAATGACATATATTTTACAGCCCAGTTTGTCTTTTGTTAATGGTAGTCATGTCTAAAGAGAAAACCCCTCCCTGTCCTGAATCCCTGCTGTCAGCTGATAGAGCCTTAAGCAGATATTCATAATAAATAAAATCCTCCTCCTTTCCTTATGTTTTTTTTTTAATAATATAACTGGATCTTTAAGAGGACCAGCAATTTCATATGGATTCCTATTTCTCTGCTACTAAACCAGAAGAAAAAAAAGATAGGCTTATAGAAAAGCATCAGAAAAAAAAAAAGCAATTATAGTTTTATTAAAAACACAGATTGTTAAATACATCTGGTTCCTGAAACTAAAGAAAGTGCTCTCTGAAACGGCAGTAATAAATCTAATTTCAACAACAGTTTTAGTTAAAGGCTAGAGACTAGAGCTTTAAATATTCATTTGATGAAAAATGTGGAGTGTTCATTTAGACATCAAGAGCTGAATTCAGTCTAATTAGCATCTTGTATTCTATTTCATGCAGTTATCTTTTACAAAACCCTCTGAGTTCTGTTAGCTTAGTGAATGTTCATAAGTTTCTTCATTCAATAGGTCTCACCTTGTATGACTTATATATCCTAGAAACTAATTATGGAAGAGGCTTGCTTGGCAATATTTACCAATGCAGAAGGTTTGGTACTGTGCACTTTCTAGTATTTTGCCCCATCTGTTTCTAGGAATTACTTTCCTTGGAAAACTACTTCAGTTGACTTGTAAAACTGAAGAAAGTAACTTTTCCTCACCCTGTTTTAACTCCATATAAAAAGGAGCCCACTGTAAAGCTGTGGTATGTTACTTGCCAGTCAAGGAATGTGAAAGATAATTTAACACTCATGTTATTCAGAACAAACGCTATCAATGTTCCACTGCATTTAAATACGGAAGGGCAATTAAAGAAATGGGGATTAGTGCAAATTACCCACTGTGTAGTGCTTTCACTGTTTTAACTAAGCAATAAAACTGTGTAATTGTACAACACTAATTGAATGCAGCCACACATAATTGTGTGCCACCATATGTATCCTATTACTATAAAGACTGTCAGTATTTTTAAGCTGCTCTTGTGATCAGTGCAGATGGCAACAGTCAGAGAAGTTGTTCTCTAGGGTTTATTATATGGCTATAAAGACATCCCATGACTTGACAAAATAAACGTGCTAAATAGCAGCAATTATGAAAAATGTTCTAATTCAAACACGGAAGACACTCTCTAGACAACAACAACAACAACAAAAAAAAGCTAAAAAATCACAGGTATTCAGCATACCCTAAACTCTTAGACAGTTAACTATAAGGTGGGTTTTGCATATTTTGAAGATAATAAGGAATATTTAACCACTTATTACTAGTGTTGCACATAGGATGTTGAGGCAGGTTCATACATAGAATCATAGAATAGTTAGGGTTGGAAAGGACCTTAAGATCATCTAGTTCCAACCCCCCTGCCATGAGCAGGGACACCTTGCACTAAACCATGTTGCCCAAGGCTCTGTCCTGGCCAGGGTTGGAACACTGCCAGGAATGGAGCATTCACAACTTCCTTGGGCAACCCATTCCAGTGCCTCACCACCCTCACTGGAAAGAACTTCTTCCTTATAGCTAATCTAAACTTTCCCTGTTTAAGTTTGAACCCGTTACCCCTTGTCCTACCACTACAGTCCCTAATGAAGAGTCCCTCCCCAGCATCCTTGTAGACCCCCTTCAGATACTGGAAGGCTGCTATGAGATCTCCACACAGTCTTCTCTTCTCCAGGCTGAACAGCTCCAACTTTCTCAGCCTGTCTTCATATGGGAGGTGCTCCAGCCCCCTTATCATCCTCATGGCCCTCCTCTGGACTTGCTCCAACAGCTCCATGTCCTTTTTATGTTGAGGACATCAGAACTGGACACAATACTCCAAGTGAGGTCTCACAAGAGCAGAGTAGAGGGACAGGATCACCTCCTTTGACCTGCTGGTCACGCTTCTTTTGATGCAGCCCAGGATATGGTTGGCTTTCTGGGCTGCGAGTGCACACTGCCAGCTCTGGTTAAGTTTCTCATCAACCAGCTCCCCCAAGACCTTCTCCGCAGGGTTGTTCTGAATCTCCTCTCTTCCCAAACTGTAGCTGTGCCACACAAAAGTTTATCAGCAGAGTCTGTAGCTGATGGCACAGATCAGTTCTAAGCATGGCATTTACTTTTGGGGAAAAGGAAAAAACAAAGTAGAGAGAGAGGAAGGAGCTGCTCCCCCTTTCCCCCCAGGGAAAATTGCTCTGCTCTGGGTAGGTCCATTACAGGCTGCTCTAAACCTAAAGCTACTACCTATGAGTAGGAAAAGGGCAGGGTGGAAAAGGGCAGATTCTCACATTGATGGCCAGAAGAACTTACTGTAACACTATGAGGGTTTGCAGGTGCCAGACCATGATAGTAATGGCATGAAAGCAACAGTACAAGAACAAGGCAAACATAATGCCATGACCACTTAGCTGAAGGGTTATAGACCTGCAAGTAAAAGGCAGGCTACAGAAGGCAAGTAGAAAGTCTCTAGCATCAGAAAGACTCAGACTCATATGACTTTTTGCAAGTGTTTTATAAATGCCACTAATTATAACCCTAATTCCAATCTTGTGATACAAGAAACTATGCATCCCATTTGACAGACAAGAACATAAAAGTAGAAAGTTCAAGAGACACTAAGGCCACAGACAGTCAAAGTCCAACACAGGGTCAGAACTCACATGAGGCTGTTTCCAAAGCATTCTTCTAAAACAATGTTCATTTCTTTCAAGGACATGAAAAATCTTAGAGAATTAATATTCAAATGCTGGCTTTTGAGACTTACGACGCTGCAAGAGGTTAAGTGCTGCATCCTCACTGTTCATTATGAATATCAATGTAGGACCTTTACATATGCACTGGAATAATCACTCAGAATCAATTCAGCTATAATTCAAACAGTATGATCATTCCTGGTGGTGGGTAATTACCAGAGATGGCTGGGAAGGTAAATCTAATCTACTCCCTATTGACTCCACTTCCTGTCTACCTTTCCCTCTTCCCTCAAAAGCTTAACTCTTCTGTTTTCAGGCTTTAGAGACATGTCAAGACAGCAGAAGGGAAAGCCTTGCCAAGAGACCAAGACCCTCCTGCGCACTCCATGTCACAGCATTAATGAATCCTGGCATGTGATTGCTATAACTTCTGCATGCAGTCACCTCTCAACACCAGCACAAGGGCTGTGAAAGGAGTATCAATTGCTAGTGTTAAGTGAAACTTCTACCTGACATTGTTTTTAGCAGTTTCTGGAAAATGAAGGCAGACTGCTTCCTCACCCAGAACTATAAAGGCATCTGACACTAGAGGAATCTCAACTGTAAAAATCCCCCTGCCTGGAAATTTAGTAAGACCTACTTAAGTCAACTTTCCCATAAAACTTCTTCAGTGTTAATCAGGACTAAATGAACTAAGCCATGCCAGAGAGCATACAACTGAGAGAACTGATATTCTAGGTATCTTAAACACTGTTTTATGGTCACAGAATATATGGAGAATTGGGACATCTTGGTACTAGAACATGTTGGCAGATTTGGGAAAACTAGGAGAACAGTGAAATAATCAGAAGAAATAAAACTATGTCCATTGGGCAACACAACTGCTGCATTCAAGAGTGATCAGAAGAAGGACTTGTTGCCAGGGTAGGTTTTTCACTGTCTTCAGTGGATAGGGGTCATACAGATTCAACCAGGAAAATGAAGATTTAGGCTGTCTGTTTTAGAAAGTGTCTTAATACCAATAGTGCTATAGGACTATTTGAAAGATGTAGCAAGGAAATGAAGAACACTGAAGTTTCTTCCTGGCTGTGCGTTGCTGTATTTCATGATCAGGGCACAATGTTTACATCCACAGTGTTTGTAAAACTGAACTGCTGCTAATTACTTAGGCAGCTGCAGAAGTACAGAATAGTCTGTTGAGGACAGAACACCTCTGTGTTTATGAGAAGCTTGAAATTATACTGCAGCTTACTAAAAGGTCACTTCTATTGATCACTGGAACAATTTTGCCGCTGTGTCTTGGGGAACGGTCTAGACATACCAGCTTATGTTACTGTACTTCTTGTGACAGCTGTTACTCTTAGGAGCACTTTACAATGCTAAGGTTAAAAACAGGGCTAGTGACTTAAAAGACTGAAATAAACTTGGTGGGTGTGTGGAAGGAGGGAGAAGTGCAGACCTTCTCTCACACAATCCCAAGTTATCAACAATGCCAAAAGTTGAACCTTCACTTACCAGTAGATTCTCCGGCTTGATATCCCTATGGACAATGTTCAGGCTGTGAAGATATTTGATGGCACTGGCCAGATTGTAAAGCATCCCACTGGCATCTCTCTCTGTATATTTGTTGGTGGAAGTAATAGCATCAAAAAGATCTCCTCCCTGCAGTAAAACGACCACAGTATATGAGCAATATTGCTTGTGAAATGACTGAAAAATTTGGGGAAGATCAAGGAGTATTATTTATAGAGGAGGAGGAGGGAGGAGTAGCACAGTTTCTTTGGAGCTATAAACTGTGGGTACTGTGATAACATCCCCCATAATGGCAGCTGAATATATCAGTAATTCAGAACCACTCATCATGGCTTAGTTGGTCAGCCAAGAGGCAGGAGTCTCTACTGCAAACCATTCCCACCTGCTGCTGCTTTTGTAACATGTCCAGCACTTGACAACCTGTGTGTTCAGAGCCCCTGTTGTGAACTTCTGGCATGCCAACATGCCTGTGATAATGCCGCGTACCAACCCTTGCCACTCTTTATTATAATCATAAACAGGCTGATATACAATTTTTGCCCAAATCCTGACTGAACTCCAGAAAAACGAAGGAACTCTGAGTAAAACTCAGAGTTTTACTGTCATCACTGCTACTATATTTTAAAAGTCTGTTTCTGTCTCATAAAACTTTGAAAACATGTATTTTAGAACCATTTTGTCTACACAAGATGTGAAGTTTTTGGTAGTGTGGTGCTTCTTGCAGCTAATACTGAAGAACTTTCCAGCATATATGTCAGACAGTCATACTGGAAGACACTTAAGAATTAACAGCTACAAATACAGATGGCAGCTTGTGCCATTTCCAGCTCATTGTGCTGTCTAGTTAAGCTAAAAGCTACTTCCAGTGAAAGAAAAACAAGAAAGAAAGAAAGAAGGAAAATTAGGTGAAGTTCTCAAAGCTGAAATAATC